AATTTTTTTTATGTTTTTTTTTTAATTTTTTTTTATTTTTTTCCCGCCCAAATTTCCATTTAACTTTTTTTTTTGGGGTTTCCCCCCCCCCCCCCCCCCCCCAAACTCTCCACCCATAAGTTGAAAACTTGAGACATATATAAAACCAAGACAAACATATGTCAGTCTCAAGGAAGTTTAAAAAGACAAGAGAAGAGGTTTGACTGACATGTCAGTCAGTGCGGGGACGAGAGTCAAGAGTCAAGACACCCAACCCAATCCAACCCAACTTTAGGTTCTTCCAACTATAATCCCGATAGAACCGCACCTATTACTCTCAAGTCACAAAAGTCAGTAACACCTTACTCACGACGACCCAACCACTGCTCGTTATTCATTTTTACACGACGCGGTACGATGTAGTATATGATAAAAAATCATGAGATTCAAGTGCGATATGTACCGGATATATGATTCCGAAAAAATGGAGAAGTATATACAAACAAAGAAGGATGATATATGGCCAAAAAAAAAAACCCCCCCGCCAAACAAACCCCCGTTATATGACATGTATGGCGCAAGATCTTACTCATGAGAAAAAGTCATGAATACCCTTGTCTTGCCCTCTAAATCATCCCATGCCATGTCTATCTCAAACCGAATTTTTCATGGGCACATCATAGACAGTTTTTCTCTGTCAGAAAACGGGACAAAACAAACATCATGCATGTTTTTCCGCTTACGACCAACCACCGACGGTGACCTTGAGAAGGAGGGGGCTGTCACCAGCGACAGTACCGGCGGCGTTCTCACCGTCGGGATTGACGTCATCGTAGGAGAAGGCGTATCCGAGACCATCCTGCTCGTAGTTGTGCACGATGCGGGAGTAGTGGTTGGTAGGGTCTACGGTGTAGTAGTTCTCGGCAGCCAAAGAGGGCTGGACGTTACCGCCATCGAGGAGGAGTGTGCTTCGGGTAAAGGCAGCGCACAGGCGGGGCACGATAGCTTGGTGGAGGTCAGAGGCACCCTCGAGGTTGGCAAAGGGGCCCGAGTTGCAGCCGTAGATGTCGATGATGGTAGGCTTAACAAAGGCCATGTCGTCACCCTCGCAGGTCATGTCGTCGCCATTGACGCGGCAAGCGACATCACCAGCGTCGCTCTGGGTCGCAATGGTAAGGTCCTCCTCGGCATACTTGGCCCAGACCTCATCGATGTAAGCGTTGTAGTAGTCCGCCTGCCATTCAGGGTGGCTGGCGAGGTAGAGGTTGGACGACAGAGCACGGAGGGCGGTACCATCCTCGTTGTACTGGCAGAGCTCGTCCCATCCGGCGCCATCCTGTTCAGCCTGGGCCTTGAGGTCGTTGCAGATGTTTTCAACGGCGCCTTCGGTAAGACCCTTGACGATCTGTGTCTCGTTGGTAGCCAAGGTCAAGCCCATGCCCATAGCGATGCCGACCCAGTCGACGTAGCTGATGTTGGCGTAGATGGTGTTGTCATCATAGTTGAATTCGACGAAACCCCATTTGACGTTGATAGAGGGGTCGTCCTCGTTAGTAACGGCGGGCTCGACGATAGTGGTGCCGCCACCATCGCGGGCGAGAGCCATGAACTGAAGCTCACCCTCCGACACCCAGATACGAGCGGAGATGAGGAAATCGGGAAGAGTGACAGAGGTTGTTTCGCCCCTGGCACCGAGCTCGGTGGAAATAGGTCCGTCGATGGGGACCGGACTGGCAGATCCACCGGCATCAGGGGTAAAGAAGGTGCCATCGGGTGACAGCATAACAGCGGCGCCGTTGCTGTCAGTGCCGGTGACGTATAGATACATTTGATTGTCGCCAAAGTTGTTTACAATGTCGAGCTGTAGAGGGTTATCTCCGTTGGCCTGGTGGGTGGTGGTACCGTTGATGGTGTTGTCTTCGGTGATGATAACATCGTCAACCGATCCGGGATGGACGATGAGAGGCCGAGCCAGCGAGCTGGTGACGAAAGCGGCAACCGTGGCCGCAGCCAAACCGAACATTCCACGCATGATGACAACGATAATGAATGCGATAGATGGAAGATTTGATCGACAGAATGGATTTTCAAAAAAAAAGGAAGGGTACTCAGTACACCTAAGTAAGGAATGACACACTGACTGAGCAGCAAGGAATGGCAGTTCAAAGAGAGAACTAAGTCGACAAATCACAAAATGCGTAGGGGGTGAATGACATCAAGTCGAATGGAAAGCTGGACGTCGAGCTTCATTATATACAGCCGTGTCTCGCTTCTCCCCGTCCCCCCGTGGCCGGGAATGAGCCCTGGCTTTCGGTGGCCCACAGAACCACCCCCCCGAGCTTCCAGGGAAACGTTACGAGGGCCATCCTTGTGGTCACCCATCGTAGCTGCCTAGCTGCCGTTGGGGCTCTGGATTATTCATGTTGATGCTCCACGCATGAAGACTCTAATCCCATCCTCACCTTCACCTACCTTCCTATTCTAGTGATAGAGGGGGTCAGTGCCTGTTACCATTTTATATGTACTTGAGTAGGTAGATCAGGTCACGCCCGGTAACAGGAACAGAAGCACCTAACCAAGATAGACTACCGGGTAGTTCACAGTCTAAATCTTGGGGGAGTCATGCAAGCCCAAGCCCTCAACATGGGAGGGCCGGCGACGGGGGTCAGGTCAAACTTGGACAAGGGCTTTATTTCGAGCATCTTCTCGGTAGACAAGGGCCAAGACTCCAGATAAGGTTGCCGTAACGAATTTGCAGGATGAGATGTCGGAGAATAGCATCAAGGTCAAGCGAAAGGTTGGACTAGTTTGGATAAAGGCCCCTAACAATTGCCCGGGGAACCTCCGTAGGCGCGCAGTGTAAGTTACGATGTACCTTAGCTATGCCTTCTCTCTCGAAAAGTTCTGACGGTTTGACCTGCCCATATTAGTTGCAATCGTCAGAGGTCTCCGACTGGCCAATCAGATGCCGTATGTGCAACCCTTTTGCTTCTTGGTAGGGCCAATTGCCTGTTTCGGATGGTTGTAACAGCCACCTCCAGTTTTCAAGTGTCTTGCTCCTTCCATCGACTCATGTCGACTCCAGCCAGAGGTTGACCGTAGGTAAACCTTATCATGGCTGAATCTAGATTTTCAGCGCCACCCGCCGCATCAAGCCACGATCGTGGGAGAAAGATGGTCTAGGTTCATCGTGTGTTGTTTGTGTCGAGTTATCATATCCGTTATGTGAGGTTACAGTTTTACCTCCGAGTACCTATCTAGGGGGGGAAGCAGAAACACGCCTTCGACCGAATCACGATTCTATCCAACCAGCTACCTTACGTCCCACCCAGTGTGGCGTAGCGGTCAAACTTCCCAAATAGCACTTTCAGAGAAAACAAATCGCTGACCAGTCTGATTGGGCTAAATGTACGACGGCGTACAGGGGTGGCTTCGAATAAGGTGGCTTCGCTTGCGGTTACCAAAGCTTTTACAACGGTGCAATAGAACATGAGTAGAACATCTCAAGAATACCCAGGTCGCACGACATACTTACCCCCCACCAGCCTCCAGGCTGTATAGATCCACAAGTGGCCTTACTAGAAAGTACAATAGATTTGTAGTTTACCTAGATGCACTTATAATTAGTGCCGGCGGGATGTCACGTTTGTCCTTCCCACCATGCATATCCGCAGCTGCTTCTTCACGCG